ATATATATTATATATATATATTAATATATATATTATAAGAGATATATATAATAATCTTGCGACTGCGTCCGAATCTTCGCCACCAGGGGATGTAAACCCGCCCATCCTTGCACACAGGGGAAAGTTTAGAAGCACAATAAAGCAGAGAGTATGTCACACCAAGAATATCATTGTAACAAAGGAATAAAAATATATTATTAAATCTATATATATAATCAATTATTATACAGTATATATAATAATATCATATTAATTAATATAATATCTATAATAAATATTGTAGATATAATTATATAAATAATACATATATCTAATATAATATAATAAATATATAATATATATAATAAGAATACTCGATATATATATATATATATAAATTATACTATATATATATATATATTTATATATAGATATCTATATATATATATATATATATATAACTATAATTATTATATACATATATATATAATAATATATATCACTATAATTATATAATATATCTATATATAATATATAATAACTCTTTTTTTTAAGATAGATATCATAATATATGATATCATTAGATATGTATATTACATATATATACATATGATAATAGAGATATATGATAGAGAGATATATATGATATATATAATAATATATATATATGATATATAGTAGATATAGGTATTAGCTAGATATTGATAGATATATATATATCTATAGTAATATATATATCAATAGACTAATGAGAATATATATACATAGAGATAGATATATATACATATATATAGATATATATATATAGATAATATATAGATATATAGACAGATATAATATTAGATAATATAATATCGATAAAGAGTAGATAGATAGCTATACATAGATATATAGTATAGTATATATATATATATATATCGATATATAGATAGTATACAACAGTTATGTTACCGATATAAATAATGTAGAGATATAGAGAGATAGATATATAATAATAGTAGAGATAGATAGATATCAGATAGATAAGTAGTATGGATAAGAGTATAGATATAGAGGGAATATATATACAAGATTATATATATCAATAGTATGAATATATATGTATGGGTATATATAGTATATAGATATTGATAATATAGATAAATGTCAATTCAAAATCAATCCAAATAACACACACACACACACACACCCACCACAAATAGATATAATAACACAGATAGAGAATATATATACAGACACACACCAAAGATAATAATAATATATATATATATATAGATAAGATATATATATAGATATATAGATATATACCACATATATATACACACACACACACACACACACAACCACACACACACAACCACACACATATAGATATATATATATATATATATATATATATATATATATAGATATAACAAATCCTCCCGGACTGGCCTCGGAACCTAGGTCACTCCGGGTATGAAGACCGGAGGCCAGTACTAAACAACATGCCACACGACCACTAACGGGAGTGTGCAAACTAGGATCAACTAGCTCCATAGACCAATACCATCTAATCATCATGAGTTTAAGATAGCGAGTTTTTACACCACCTCCCGTGAGCACTCGGTGGGAATTGATTGAGAAATTCGAAACGAAGTCAGATATGCCTGAGGTTATATATGAAGAAAGATGAATAATGAATACCGCATGATATAGAATATAACAAATCCTCCAGACGGCCTCGAACTAGGTCACTCCGGTTATGAGACCGGAGGGCCAGTACAAACCAACCATGCCACACGACCCACTAAAAGGAGTGTGAAAATAGGATCCAACTAGCTCCATAGACTATACCTATCACTCATCATGAGTAAGATAGCGAGGTTTACACAAAATACCCGTGAGACTCGGTGGGAATTGATTTTAGAAACTTCGAAACAATAATATATATATATAACTAATAATAATTAATATTATATATATATATAACATATCCATATACATATATATAGATATATATATTATATAATATATATATACTATATATTATATATATATATATACACACATTACCATATACATATATATATTTATATATACATTATGTACAATTTATAAATACATACATACATATAAAGATATATATATATATAATATATATATATATATATATAATATAATGTTGTATTTATATGATATGTAATAATATCTATATCATTTATATATATAATATATATATATAATATATTATAATATATATATATATATAATAAATTACACACATATATACATATATATACAAATATATGTATAATTATACAATGTTATATATATAAATACATACATAATATACATATATATATACTATACTATATAAATAATATATCTATTATATACATATATATATTACATTACTATATAATATATATATAATATATATGATATATTATATATATATATTATATATTATATATATATAGAGACATAAATATATATATCTATATATATATATAGATTATATAATCTATATATATATATA